TATTATGTGGGGCCCATATGACATTATAAGGTGGTTGAGAGCCAATTAGGTGGGAACTTTTGGTGTTTAACTAAAAAGTTAGTGGTAATTTTCAAAAAAAAAAAAAATAGTAGGTGGTAATTGTTAAAATAGAAACAATAGTAGGTGGTAATTGTTAAAATAGAAACAATAGTAGGTGGTAATTGTCAAAATTTCCAAAATATGCAGGATGGTAGTATTATGTAAGTAATATGAAGTCATGAAAGAAGTATATACGGAAATAGAATTTAAACTACAACTACGTATGGAAGTTGTAATTAAACAAACAAGACTACAAATGGATGGAGACAATAACTATAGTGTGAGTTTAATGACACCCAGTGATATGGATGAACCTTAGTAATGAGTAACGCCCTGATAAGTGATAAGTGGACTAAATTATTTCATTGAAAGTCTATTTATACTGCGTGTGCGTTGTGCCAACAAGGTACTACTAAGCTCATTAACTAGTACACTTCGTAAGCATAAAATCGTTCACTGCATCCTATGTTTAAGTGTTTTTGTAGTCACAATTCTTGACATAAAGATAAGCCTTTAACAAACATTAAGAATGTTTGAGATACGAGTTTATTTTCGGTACCTCTTGTCATGGCTCTGGTTAATGAGCTTAGCCATGACCACTTTCGCCACCACTACTAGCCTTATTTCGAAACCTGGTTGCCCAAGTAAGTGTGGTCACATTACCGTGCCTTACCCATTTGGTATCGGCCTAAATTGTAACACTTCCTATGATCCTCCAAAACCATTCTTAGGCAAGAGTAATTTGGAGGTCATGGACATATCGGAAGCCAGATGCGAATCAGGACCTTTATTGCAACTAGTTGCTACCAAAGTGGGAAGGTTATGAAATCCGTAATAGCAATGATAGGCCTCAACTCCTTGCCACTTGTGTTTTCAGACACTGCGAATAAGTTCACTGTCGTTGGTTGCGATGATGTTTCTGTGATCCAAGCCCAAGGTAGCCTTGGGCGATCCTTCACAAGTGGGTGTGTTGCAGTATGTTCTAAGCCACAACAAGTGCTAAATGGGTCGTGTTCAGGAACCGGTTGCTGCCAAACATCCATACCAAAAGGATTGAAAGCATTCTACATAAGCGCGGTAAGCTTAAGCAATCACACTAATGTGTCCTTTAATCCATGTAGCTATGCTTTCTTAGCAGAACAAGACAAGTTCAGCTTCAACGTCTCTGACCTTTCCGACCTTACATTCGTGGAAAGAACACTTGACAATGTTCCGGTTGTGCTCCAATGGGTGGTAGGAGTTCGTCAAACCTGTCTTCAAGCTCAGAAGAAGTTATCTTCTTATGCTTGCCATCAAAATACCAACTGCACTGATTTTGATATTGCTACAGCTGGAGGATACCGTTGCAATTGTCTTCCTGGCTATGACGGTAACCCTTATCTTACCCCTGGATGTACAGGTCCCTTTCTACTTCCTTCCTTTTCATTAATCAATTTGATGTGCAGTACAAGCCTATATATTTATGGTTGAAGTCAACATGAGTTTCTTGTCCAATCGTCCTACATACATCAACCAAAATATACATTCACAGGAGAATGATGTAGACGTAATTTGATCTCATATCTTAAATACCACCATTATACTCCTATATATTAATCCCCCTCTGTTATTGATTGTGTAACCAACTAGTACTCCCTCCGTGTTTTTTTAAGTGATACATATTGACCGGCACATAGTTTTAGGCAATTTAATTGACTTAAATAAAATAAGAGGTAAGTGGGGTAGTGGAGTATTAAAAAATTGTTAAAGAAAGATAATGGGGTTAATAGTTTATTGAAAAGTAATGAATGTGAGAGGAAAGATATAATAAAAATGTAGTAGTGGGTTTGGGTGGGGGCCATGAGAGGAAAGATATATAATATTTTAATGTATTGTTTTGCCAAAAAAGTGCAAAAAAAGGAAATGTATCACTTAAAAAATCACGGCCGAAAATGGAAAATGTATCACTTAAAAAAACACGGAGGGAATACAAAATATGTTAGAAAGTCACTACTACAAAAGTCACATCTTACACCTTATATATGTATGTGTCACGTTGCACTCATGCTTCCTTGGATATAAATGCAGTGGCACACGACAAGTTGAAATCTTCTATTAATTATTCAAAAATTTAATTTTCATAGGTTTGGATTGAAATAAGGTGGATAATTATCAATAAACTTTTAAGACCATCTCCATTAAATTAAGGGCTCGGGTAGGGCTCATGAAGAGTGAGTGTTATAAAAACGAGTCAACAATTTAATAGCAATGATATACAAAGTTAATAAATGTAAAATAATACCGTGAGATTTATGCAAGTGAAAATAGTCTAGAGATAAATAAATGGGTGGTAAAGAGCAAACTCAAAACAATTTAAAAGTTAAAGGGATAAATTTCTTATAACAAATTAATCAAGTAATTAGGATTCTTAAAAAAAAAGTAGGCCAAGTAAAATAGAATATAAATAATAAAAAGTCTTTAATTAAAATGTACTGTAGGACATAAAGGCTTTCCAAATTTGTAAATTGATGAGCCTCACAAATAATGATTTAATATCAATTGACCACTACTAATGACACGCTTACTGACTTAGATATAGGTACGACACTATACCTGTAACTCTGTAAGTTCAACATCGTCAAAACAATCAAACTGTGTGATAGACTTGATATAGGCACGACACTATACATGTAAGTTCAACATAATCAAAAGACTTAAATTTTACCCTTTTGATGGAGAATTACTAGAACGTATCATATTGTCAATTTTCCATAAACAAACGAGTTTTCCCATATATTGACACCCATGACACCTAAACTTTTTTACTCGTATTTTGCAGATATTGATGAGTGTGGAGCTCCAACCAATTTATGCTCTCATATTTGTAGCAACACCAAAGGCAGCTACATATGCTCATGTCCTAAAGGATATTTGGGTGATGGTTTAAACAACGGCACTGCCTGTTATAGCATTCACTCATCACTATTTGCTACCAGGTTCAGTTTATGTAAGTTCCCTCTCAGTCTCTCAGTATTCTTAGCTATATGGATTCACTACCTTATTCTTTATAAAATTTTGCTACATAGCAATGCCGTTAGAAATATTAAGCATTTTGGCTAATAGTTATGCTCGTGTAAAGCCCTAGTGGCCTAGCCTTGCTGGTTGCCGTAGTTAAGAAAAACCTCTGCAATAATTTTTACAGACTAAACGGAACTTCAATTGCAACTTTAATTAAACAGTTATGAAATTTCATTATTAAATCCCAATGTAACTTTTGCCTGAAATTGTTGTGCAGGCATGAGCTTTGGATTATTGTTCTTGCTCATATTAGCAAGTTGGATATATTTTACCATCAGGAGATCGAAATTAATTAGAATGAGGGAGAAATTTTTTGAGCAAAATGGAGGATTATTATTCAGGCAACAACTTTTTCAAACCGGAGGAACTAGGATTCATCCAATATATTTTCTGCTGATGAACTAAAAGCCGCAACAAATAACTACAATGAAGATCGTATTTTGGGTAGAGGTGGTTATGGTACAGTATTCAAGGGAAATCTAAAGATGGTCGCGAAGTTGCAATAAAAAAATCAAGAGTGGCTGATCAAACTCAAGTTGAGCAATTCATCAACGAAGTGGTTATTCTGACACAGATTAACCATCGAAATGTCGTAAAACTCTTAGGCTGTTGTCTGGAAACAGAGGTTCCTTTGCTCGTATATGAGTTCATCTCAAATGGTACTCTCTTTGAGCATATCCATCAAACTAAGGGTGGCATATCTTGGCTTACTTGGGGAAATTGCATTAGAATTGCTGCAGAGGCTGCTGATGCACTAGCATATCTACATTCAGCCGCTTCAATACCAATAATTCATAGAGATGTTAAATCCACCAACATATTATTAGATGAAAACTACACAGCAAAAATATCTGATTTTGGCGCCTCTAGGCTGGTACCGATGGATCAAACTCGGGTGACAACATTAGTTCAAGGAAAATTGGGATATTTAGATCCAGAGTACTTCCATACAAGCCAGCTTACAGAGAAAAGCGATGTTTATAGCTTAGGAGTTGTTCTTGCTGAGCTGATTACCAAAGAAAAACCTCTCTCCTTGGACAGGAAAATGGAAGAGAGAAATTAGGCAGCATACTTTGTCTTGGCAATAAAAGAAGACCACTTGATGGAAATCCTAGACTCTCAGTTAGTGAAGGAAGCAAGCAAAGAGCAGCTAGTTACAATGGCTAAACTAGTAAAGGAATGTCTAAACGTCGAGCATGAAGATAGGCCGACAATGAAGGAAGTGGCTGTTAAATTAGAGGGACTGAAGAAGCATCCTTTGGTGAAGCAGAACTACATTCAGACAACTGACATAATCGACCAGGATCTATATCCCGTGCCCTCGAATGGCAATAACGAATATGCAGGAAGTTCAGAGTTCTATGGACAGAATTCGATGCAAATGCATCTCATCTCCGAAATGAACCATCCTCGTTAGCACTTACATCATGCCACAAGTCTCAAATTTGTTGCATCTTATTCTTTGCTATAATTAAGCTCAGTAATAGACAGTAAAACAATTGCATTTTAAATAGGCCACATTCCTATCCAAATTTAGATCCTCAATTCATTTTAATAAATAATCTTACACCATGAGTTCAACCCGTGAGCCGTGGACGGAGTTTTATTGCCATGGACATTGACTCGAAGAATTACGAGTTTAGTTAATTTACATACAAATTCATAATCATTGCTCGCTAAATGCCATAAGCGATTTAGCGAGCAAGTAGTAATTAATCGAAACATTTGTAAATCGGCAGTGCACATCTAATTCCTAAAGAATTACGAGTACTTTGTTTTAGCAACTAAATCGAATCCCAATATGATTGCAAAGAAAAAAGCTTGAAAAAAAAAAGGGAGGAATAAAGAAGGAAAAACAAAAGGCGAGAAATGCAAAGTAACGCTAAAAAAGAACCCAATCTTTAGCCATTTGCTTTTTTTTTTTTTTTTTTCATTAATAATTCTACAAATTAAATTGAACAACAACCAAAAAAGAGCAATCATTGCTCAAGAGTCTGATTAATTGATTAATTAAGCAGTAAATTAGAAAATTACAAACCCAAAATACAAATTATTTAAATATGAAAGCAAATTGAAGATTAAGAAGCGTTAGATCAGCCAGTATAGATGTGAATACGAACGGCGAGGATGAAAATAGTGTAAAGACCAAAGAAAATAAGAGTATGAATAAAGATGGCTTTGCCGTTAGTCTTCATACCTCCAAACTCAACAGATCGGTTGTAACCCGGTAACTGAAACAGTAATCCCGGTGACAATAACACGAATAGTACCACTCCTACTAGTACTGGTGCCCAATCTGCCATTCTCTCTCTTCTATTATTCTTCCCGGTTACCGGTTACTTTGACGGGGTCCACTTACCCTGTTTAAGGAAATTAAAAAGTTTTTTGGATTTTTGGGTGGTTTTCTGGAATAGTCGGTGAAGGAGGAGAGAAAAAGGAGTGAGAAAATTAAGGGAGTGGAAAAGAGAGGACTTGAGAAGTGTGTAGTGTTTTTATTAGAGTAAAGAAAAATGGAGGAGTGTAATGTGAGTGTCAAAGTCAATTGTCTTGGAACTTGGAAGTGGTTAAGGATGGAAATATCCGATCATCTGGTCCATCTGCTTTATTAAACGGGTGAAAAATCCAGTTTATATGGATGAGAGGCAGGTGACGGGTGAATCGGGTGATGGATCGAGTCGGATTCGGGTGGTGGTTAATCTCATCCGTCACTCATCCATCCATTCGTTTAATATTATAAATATTCTTATTTTTTAAACATAAATATAAATATCTTATACATATATAATATTTGCATATTATAATTTGTATGGTACGATTATATTTTATTTTTTATGTTAATATTTGACATATCACAATTATTTTAATATTAAAGGGTCAAAATAGTTTTCTCAAGTTTTTTATCTAAAATTAATTTTTATTCACCCACCCGTTAATCGCCTTAATTTAGAAACTCATTCAAATTATACTAATTTGGGTGTTTAGATTGAGTTTTATTAGGTTCGATTAAGTAGAATCTATTAAAATTTTGAGTCACGCTGAACTTGACTTTTTTCTTTTGGGGCAAGGAAAAGAACTCTATCAAACAGAAACCTGTCACAATTCACAAGTTAATGAGCTAAGCACCTTAAAAGTGGGGGGCAAAGGAAATGGTAAGGATATCCCCACCCCAAAGTGTCTCTATTGGGGTTCGATCCCCCACTAGGCCAAGCTTTGCATGGTACAAAATACTTGTACTTGATTTGATTACTACGTAGTCCCTCCATCTCTTAATCGTATGCCCATTTCTTTCATTGATTACCCACATAATAGAGAAAAATAGACATAAATAAAAGACGGGGAGAGTATGTAATTTAGGTGTATACACTGATTACTATTAAGTAGGTTATTTATTATTCTATATTACGGAGTTCAAGTTGTTTTACACAATGAAATTGGTTGAATTTGATATTTTTAAAAATACATATTAAAATTTAACTATCAAGATCTCATATTCCCAAGTAATTACTGGTGTATCAGAACAAGACTAGATAATCACACGATAGAAATTCATTCTAGACCCTAACCAAAATTCATACTCCTAAATTACTTAATTAATTCTTCCGTTGTTTTATTATTACATGTACATTTCTAATAAGATTAAACTTTGTGACCTTAAGTTTACAAAATGCTCCTACTCTATATATCAATCATAATAATATATTAATATATTGTCATATACTCACAAAAATTTTCTTACAATAAAAGTAAAATGTGTATTTTTATGACCTGATCTCATTGATTGAACTAAACTGAGCTGAACTAAACTGAACTTATTAGAGCTGAATTGAACTTAAATGAACTTATTAGAGTTGAACTAAACTAAACTGGCCTGAACTTATTAGAAGTGAATTGAAATGAACTGAAAATAAATAAGGATTTTTTGCAAAAAACCACCTTTTAAATATTGTTTTTTTGCATTTAACCAATTTTTTTAAAAAAGTTGCAAAATCCATCAATTTTGAAAATTTTGTTGCAATTTTAAAAGGTGGTTATTTGAAAAAAAAAACAAGATTTAAAAAGTAGTTTTTTGCAAAATTTCCAATAAATAAATAATCATATCAAAATAGGCCCTTAAAAGTCGAGGATTCAACATAGATAATCGGATTGAAGTAACCATAAGGAATGTGTGAACGAAGAAGCAGTTGGGTGGCCCGCCTAATCCATCCACGAGCCACGGACACATCCCCTTGGCCCTTGGGCAGTTGCAGACTTGCAGCAATGCTCTGAGTTCAGAGTAGCTGCTTTCATGGCCTTATGCTTCTCCTTCCCTCCCGATTTTCTCTCTCCTCCAAATTTCCAACCTCTCCTTCAAAACTGCACCAACTCACAACATCTTACCCAAATCCATGCCAAAATCATCCGTTCAAAACTATCTACCAACCCCATTCTTGCCGCCCAATTACTCCGCCTTTATTCTTCATTTGGCAATCTCAACTACGCTTCTTCAATCTTCCATCGAATTCAGTCTCCTTCAACCTTTTCCTGGAATCTCATCATCAGAGCTCATACAATCAATTCTTCTTCTTCAAAGTCTCTCATTTTGTACAATCTTATGATATGTGCTGGGGTACCACCTGATAAATTCACCTTCCCTTTCGTCATCAAAGCTTGCGCTGCTTCTTCGGCTGTTGAAAAGGGTAAGGAAGTTCATGCTTCTGTTATTAAATCTGGGTTTTATTGTAAAGATTTGTTTGTTAAGAATACCCTCTTGGATATGTACTTGAAATGTGGGAGTTTAGAGAGTGCACGCAAGGTGTTCGACGAAATTCCTGTGAAAAATGTTGTGTCTTGGACTACTATGGTTTCGGGTTTGGTTGGATTTGGGGAGTTGGATTGTGCTAGGGAACTGTTTGATCAAATGCCTGTGAGAAATGTGGTTTCTTGGACTGCTATGATTAATGGGTATGTGTCCAATGGGAGGCCTCAAGAGGCGTTCGAGTTGTTCTCTCAAATGCAGGTTGAAGGAGTAAAACCTAATGAGTTTACTCTTGTTAGTTTACTGAGAGCTTGTACAGAACTGGGGAGTCTTAGTTTAGGGGCTTGGGTCCATGAATATGCTTTGAGTAATGGGTTTAAATTGGATGTATACCTTGGAACTGCCCTCCTTGACATGTACAGTAAATGTGGTAGCTTAGAAGAGGCAATAAAAGTGTTTCATATGATGGAAAGAAGGAGCTTAGCTACTTGGAACTCGATGATTTCGAGCTTGGGTGTGCACGGGTGTGGGGATGTGGCATTGGGAATTTTTGAGGAGATGATTAAGGAAAAGGTAATGCCTGATGCAATCACATTTGTTGGGGTATTGAGTGCTTGTCTTCAAACACAGAGAGTGGATGAAGGTATAAATTACTTTAAATTCATGATTGAAGAGTGTGGTATTGTGCCTATATTAGAACATTATGTATGTATGTTTGAGCTGTGGAGTCGTGCAAAGGATAATGTCCAGACCATTTCAGACGAAGGTCAAAGCTTTGTACAGATGACTGAAACTGAGATGTTTGAGGAAAGCCTTTATGCTAGCTTACCTAGATGAGTTGTATGATTTTTAGACTACCTAGTGTTTCATTGGCTTGTTGGATCACTTGGTTGATATGCCTTCTGTGCGTACCATGATTGACCGTGTTGGTAATTTCCAAATGAGTTCAAGCTGCAAGCTACCGGGTTGTGGAACTTAGGTGTCGAACTGTCGATTCTAAGTCAAGCAGTAGTGTACAGATATTGATTTCTGGTGACTGCAATTATCCAAGCCCAAGATCCCAATACCAGTGATGGAAACCAGGCTTTGGAGTGAACATGGGGTATATGCATTTTCTTTCCTTTTTCCCTTTTTTATCCTTTTCTTTTTCTTGTCCTCAAATTCTCTTGCTGCAAATATAATTTAATTTTAATTTTAATGAAATACATAAATCATATGTAGTACTTGTATGAATTTCAACAGAATGGATGACTTTATCAACAACTGGATTGGGCTTTGTGACTAGGGAAGCTATTGAGTTGTAGTAGTCTAAATCATATGTATCTTGTTACATGAAGGACCAAGTGTACAAATATGAGACAGATTAATATATTGATGTTCAACCATGTCCATGAGTAAAAATCTTAATTAGCAGTAGTATTTTCCCTCCCTTTCATGATGATTGGGTCCCATTGATCAATTTTTCTCAAATCCCCACCAATTCAGTTTGACAGCAAATACTGTGCCCTAGGAGTCATACATTGAAACATTGATGATGCACGTCTCCAATTCAGACAAATAAGAGGATATAAAATGTCTAGCTTTCCGCTAAATAGACTATATTGCGCAAGCTTAAGGATTTTTTTTTCCTTAGTCCTTAAACATCAATAGAGAATTCTAGATATTCCTGTTTGCTACTTTCTAATGACTGGAAAGGCCTCCATTTGACTCTTGCTAAGTGGAATGGGCATGCCTGTATATTTTAACCAAGTAGAATAAACTTTATCTGCTGTAGGGTCCCCTGTCCCTCCCGACCACTAAACTATATTAGCAACTCATATTAGCCCATGTAATTGGTAGGTGATCGAGATTATTTTAGCTCTCAAAAGAAATACACAAATAGGGACAACGGGCAGCTATCAACTGAAAGCACAACTAGATACACCCTTCAAAGGTCCATGTGAGCTTGACTCCTAAAATGCTACCTTATCTAGGCAAATTAAAGTCATGAGATAATGTTAAAAGAGGGAAAGTTGGGTTATTGATTCTTCAATTATTTAGCTTTATGGGTATCCTATTCTCTTCCATATCGTAGTGCACTTGCATAATAATTTGGGTCTGACCCCTGCTTTACATTCTCATTTCCTGGCTTTGCCTTTTTTCTCTGCCTTTGCCCATCTCACTTGTCTCTCATCTCCACATAGTATTAGCTTTTTGTTCTAGTTGTACAAAAAATGAACGATTGGGCTTCACCGCTCATAGCTACAGCCCTGTTTGCATTCCTCCAACCAGGTTTGATTCTTCAAATACCGGGAAAGCAACAACCAGTAAGTTTCATGAACATGAAGACCAGTGCAGCATCCATTCTTTTCCATGCTGTTATCTACGGTTTGCTGGTCATGTTATTCCTTGTTTTTCTTGATATCCATCTCTACGTCTAAGAGGCTGCAAGATTATTTTTTTTTCTGAAGAGAAGCTGCTTAGCTTTCAGTACTACATCTGAAGGGAGGGGAGGCAATTTTTATCTTCCTTAATTTTGTTGAATTCAGATTGCATTTCTGTTGCAGCTCTGCTTCAGCATAAATAAGAGCACAAATTGATGCTGTACTATTCTGCAAGCTTCTTTAGGAATTTGGGATTTTTTTTTTCTTGTAGTAAAATGTTTTTCTCACAAATTATCAAGTTTGGTCCTCATTAAGGAGTATCCCTGTCTCTGAAATTATCAGGGACTAGGGATTCCACTCATTTCAGGGTGTAGTATAATTTAAACTACCAATTATTTTAATTCATGTATTTATCAATTTTGGTGTGCAATTAAATGAATTTATGTCTTTTTTTTTTTTTGTTAATTATTGCCACTGCCCTATTTTTTGGTAAGATAGAGGCCCGCTGCCCATGAATCTTGGCCTCTCGACTCGAATATGCGGGCTTGGCCAGTTATTTTGAAGTACTCAGGTTAATTACTTTGGCCAATAACTTGGTACTATAATGGTATGTGAAGTATGAACCGTTGAGCTGTTGTTCATACAATTTTCTAGGTTTTTTTGGGGTTTTTAACAAAAAGGCCACATTTGACTTATTTGACCAAACATTGGTAGCATTTGATTTTCATTTTCTTAAGAAATTTTCGTATGTATACAGTAATACCCATATGTTGATTTTCAACTATTACTGAAATTACTTGTATAAATGATGAATGTGGCCTATAATTTTGAACTAGCTGACGTACCCATAGCGATGCTTAGTTAAACTCGTGTAAATGAAGCTTTTCCTTAAAAACTCAACAACTTGAATTATATTTTATCTGTAAAATTGAATAATATCTTAATTTGTGCTAGACTTAAATCAACTATCAATATGAACAACATATATACTTAATGACTTAATCACTGTTGTAAGACCAACAATAACATCTTAATTTAAGAGAAGATAACTGGATGTTCTATTGACTTTTCTATCTTTGCTGATTTATTTCTCCTTTAAGAACGTAAAAATACGAAATTTGATGGATTTATAAGAGTACAACTTAAACGTGATGTTAAGCATATATATATGTGAAGCAACATGCACGCTTTCCCTTTATTATTGAATATTATGGTCATCATCGCATTACAGTAGATGACTTGAGCAAGATTTGGAAAAACATGCAAGTAATAAAATCTCAATTCAATCATATGTTTCCAATACGGCAGTACTCGTGGTTAAAAAAATACAGTATTATTAATTTTACTGCTCTGTATTGTAAAGATAGCAATAAAATTTTAGTGTATCATACTACGGTTTGCTCCTTCTCTGTTGTTACTCAACCTTGTGAAAATGTAAAACAATAACAATACTCCAATGGAACAATTTTACAAAAAGGGAAAGGAGAGAGTACCCGCTTCAGTGAAACCCCCTAATAAAATGGACATATAGAAATTGAAGAATTTCCTCTGTAAATTAAGAATTGTATTGAGTGATAAATTATGAGACTCTACATCACATCAACAAACACAATTCTTGCTGATGTTTAAAAAAAAACAAACAAACACAAATCTAGTCCACCAAATTAGTTGGGTGGAGGCAAGAAAATGACAAAATCTATAAGAGATTTTTTTTTTAAAAAAAAACAGAAAAAATTCCGGTACCAAGGAAAATTTTACCTTGTACAACTAATCAGGATCATAAATTATGTTCCATCATCAAATATTTTTTTACAAGAAACTCGCATAAATTATGATTAGTGTCATACAGAGCTTACAGGGCAATCCTCCTTGTTAGCCAATGTAGACATGAGCACCAGCAGCCAACAATAAGATGCTGATCAAAGTGAAAAAGATGAGCGAATGAACCAGTATGGATGGACCGCTCGTATTGAAGCTACTGAACTCAACCACCCTGCTGCGACCGGGAATCTGTACAAGAAGCCCTGGTGTTAGTAATATGAACAACACCACCGCCACGAAAACTGGCCCCCAATCACCCATTCTGCTTCTCTTTGTTTAATGATCTTACCTTTCACTTTCTTTTTAATGAAGCAGTGTAATGAAGTCATATTTGCATTTGTTTGGTTATATAAAAGATGAAGGGCTGTGACAAAATGAAAAGAGTGCTCACGAAGAAAAGTGTCCGCTGCAAAAGAAAATAAAGTTAAGATGACGACAGAATCAAGCTATTGCGATCGATCACGTATAGTATATATTTAGTCTACAAGCTCCTAATTTATACAGTACAATCTAATAAGCTCGATTATGCACCTTTAACTGTTTGTAATCTTGATAAACCCTCTATGTTCTTTAAAAAACATATTACTCCCTCCGTCTCTAAATGTTATTCATACGCTAATGGTGATCGTATCACAAAAGCTAGGAAATTAAAATTAAAAATAATTTTTTTTGCATTACAAGTGGGCCTTCACGTGATGAATCTTGGACATAAGTGTGTTGTCTCCAGATTAATTAACCCACCATATTAATATATTTGTACTAATCAATATATTCAATTGGGTTAACATAAGTTGGTAATCACATGAGGTCAATAGTAACATGAAATTAAACAGGATTTAATTGTACTTTATGTGATTAAGTAACCTAATGAACATGTGAGTTCTGTCTCATTGGTAACATAAGGCAAACAAAATATATAGCTCAAGCTCAACAATGGTATCAGCAGGAAAGGACAAACATTAATATTCTCGGAGGGACTAAATGCAATTAAGGATTCGAAAGCGTGTCCAAAACTTCATAAGAAAATCCAAAATACGATCAAAACAAATTCGACAAGTAATCCGCAAAATTACATTTCCATTCATGTTTGTGGACTAACCATTACTCTCAAGCAACAGCATACAAGAGCAACTTTGATCTGGTAGCTGAACACTACAAAACCTCTTTCGTGTTTTTTGACTGAAATTTAATGTGATAATGTAGTTTCAAGCATAGTTAAGCCGGAATATGTCACTCTGCACATAGAAGCTTCCCTGAGGGGTTGGCATCAAATGGAACATCTGCACTCACCAAGAAACGAGATTAGATAAGGGTAGGATCAACATGGAGCAGAGCAAGCTAAGCAATATGTCATGGAAAATAAAACCCAATGGCTGCCAAACCACAATTTCTCCTTTATTGGTGTATTATGTATTACTTTTTAACTTTGAAGCTTTTATGACTAGATACTTTTCAATTTCCATCATCTAATTGCAAACATGTTGCAAGCTAGGCCTACATATTGCCATATCGTTAAAGACCTGTCTTAATAAATTGTTCTGCACTACGATGGTACATTCAACCAATTACGGCTTGCTTGCTAAATCAATCGGTACAGAACTTTGTTAAATAATTCATACATCTTGCAAGTTGCAGCCTAGATTACACTTAGTTCAGTTCAATCTAAGCTAAATTTAACCTAATAACACCATCAAATACCCTAATCATGCAAACAAGCATCAATAAATAGTCATTTTCAAGCATAAGTTTAGAATCTCACGTCATATGTCAGATAATCCTCTTAACCAAGGCAAGAATTTTTAGCATGATAACCAACCACACAATCAATTCCGTCAATTTTGCACTATAATTTACTGATTACTCAGTTATTCAGTTAAGAGAAGCTGGAATTAATAGCTGTGGATAACTGATGCTGCTCGGGAGTAAGGTAGATAGACTACAAGAATTTTAGAGAATTTGCTAATTACGTCATTACGTGCTGAGGATGTATTATTGCAGTGCAAAACTTCAGAGGGTTGGTGTAATATGTACTTTTAAGCAAAAAGTAATACGAAAAAACATAACACAATGGCTACCAAAATTCCAAATCATGGTGGCTCCTATTGGTCTATATACTTTAATATTCATGACTGGAAATTTTGAATTTCTTTTTCTTAATCAAGTTCAAGAAAGCTACAGTCTTGACCTAAATATTGGTAAAGAGCTGCAAGCTATCTTAAATAAAATCATATAGGGAATACATTTATTTAGTACTCCGTACATGACTTAATTCAACAAACTAAGGCTCGTTTGTTAACAGTACAAGAATCCCTAACATATACTTTGTACAATTATACACAGTACAGACAAATGTAAATCTTGCAAGATCTCTTTGACAAGCATTCGAGAAAAAGCACAGGAGGCGATGTAGAGTAATGAGAAGGAATGCACACTTCCTACTTTCTCTGATAATACTAAGGGAAAATCACATTTGTGGCTAGAACTTGGAATTTTTTGTTTAAAAGCTAGATAAACACTATTGTTCTGGATGGCATGACTATAATGCCTTAACTATCTTTTATTCCAATCAACTAAATGAAAAAAAGGGACTTGCTTGTTAGCTTCATTGGTACAGATATACAGAACTATCTTGACAAACTCATTCGAATTATAATATATTGCAACTCAGATATCATCACCTTAAACTAAATCCCACCTGAAAACATCAAATATCATCACATCAACATACAACCATCACTTTATACTTTCAAGTATAAAATCCTATAAATGAGAAATATACTTTTCCTAGCAAAAGCATCATGGCAATCCACCACTACTATAATTACTACTCTGTTTGACTAAGCAAAGCTGTAAGGAATAGGTATGGTTGAGTGATGCTGAGCTGGCTGCTAGAGCCAAGGAAAACATGCTAATTCTATGCTTAGAAAGTTTTATAGCTCTCCAAACTTTTTCTCAAAAAATATTTCAAACCAAATACAAGTATATTGAATCTTATGTTATCTTTGAATGGTCTCTATATAATGCCATTGTCAACAACTCAACACGATGCTCTCATTCAACCCCAGTAGGCTGCTGATTACCAACAACACTTTCATTTTCCACTAATCACCAACATCACTTTAAATTTCTGTAATAGCCATCTTTCTCCATCCCAAATACTAATCACATAAGATATTTGGACAAGTCTCAATCAATTACCATTTAAAGTAAAAATAGGGGTAATTTTAAAGTCTTATTCAATTTGATTTCATTGGAAAACCAAACAATTCCATAGAAGCAATGGTTAACAATTTATCAGTACTCTTTCCTTAGCTCATTCAATCCCATTCCATTGTAAAACCAAAGAACCCATTAAAGCAATGAATATCATTACCCTTTAATTATCTCATTCCACTTCCTTTCCTTCAACCACACCAAATGCACCCTGAGTGTAAAGAGCATGAATCTTCCACTTATTTGCAATCAAAATGGGTTCATTGCTGTAAATTTTTGAAGATTAACGCCTATTTATCCAATAACATTAACATTTCTCCAAATTAACCTTCCAAACCCAATAAAATTAGGTTAACAAACAATCAAAAGAAAGCTCCAAAATTTAACCAATACCAATCCACATGAAAATGACCCCAAAAAAATAACAAAATTATAAGCTCATTTGATATTAGAAGTTAATGTCAATTAGCATATAAAGGTGTTGATACCCACCAAAGTAAAGTATTGAAAGGGACCCTAGAATCAAATCAAGCCGGATTAAATCTCGTCTACACCAGTACCCTTTGGCACTCGATACCAACCCTTAAGAACATTTTACAACAACTAACAACACAAATAATCCAAATACTAAAAACCCATCAACAAAATAAAGAGAAAATTTACCTGACTAAACTTGAGAAGGTGCTGTTCACCAGCAAGCTGAAGATTACCACTAACAAAAACAAGAAGAGTACCATTTGAGCTAGAAGGCTGGCAATCAGTAGTAGTGATAGAATGTTTACACTGCTCAAAGGGTAAACTTGTAAGTTTACCAACAATATTTTGAGCACCTTGAAATTTTTGACCTTCAAAAGTTAACATTGAGCTTTCTTGGTATAAACTGCTTAAAGCTGCACGATTTGTGTCAAATGTTGAGTAGTAGTGTTCTACGAATGCTCTTGCTACTTGATCACCTTGCTCCATTTTCTCTCTCTAGATTTTGCGCCGGAGATTGTGGTGGTTGTTGCGGCGGCGGTGATGGGGTTTGTGATTTATGAGGAGAATGTTGTCAAGGGAATGAAAAAAAGAGCAGGGTTTTAGAGACTGAGTGAAGGGGGAAACGGTGCCGTTTTGATGGGTTTTAGATTATGAAGATTAGGGCTGTCAAAAGCTGACACGACACGAAAACCCGACACGAACCCGACACGAAATAAGCGGGTTTGGGTCAAGTATTCTCGACCCGTTTACATAATTGGGTCGACACGAACTCGACACGAAATTAAACGGGTTAGGTTTGGGTTGAAATTTTCAACCCGAAACCGACACGCGTAACCCAATTATATAAATGGGTTGAACGACAACCCGCTAACCCGAACCCGACACACTTAACCTATTAATAAAGTAGTAATAAAAACCGAAAATTTTGTTCTAAACTTGTAATTTTGTAAATTGCCTTGGCACCATGTATACATTTAGATAATTTTTGGCAGTTAATTTGGCGGATAAAATAAATTTCAACTTTTGTAAATTAAAATTTGGCTGTTAATTTGGGACAATTCTTATGTATGGTTGTGCTGCTAAAGCAACCAACTTTAAATTCTTGTAGTACTTTTGCTATAATTACTAACTTTAAACTCTTGTAGTATAATTAATGAATTAATGATGTATGTCTTTTTAATTTTTATATTGAATATTATAGTTTATTACATACTATATGGGTAAAAGGTTACACGGGTAACCCGTTTAATAAGCGGGTTAGGTTTGGGTCAAGGGTTTTCAACCTGTTTAATAAATGGGTTAGGTTTGGGTCAAGGGTTTTTCAACCCGTTTAACATCGACACGAACACGAACCCGACACGACACGACCCGTTTGACAGCCCTAATGAAGATGAATGAAAAAAAAAAATTGAAAATCGTCGACAGCAGGGTTCGAACCTGCGCGGGCGAAGCCCAACAGATTTCAAGTCTGTCTCCTTAACCACTCGGACATATCGACATATTTGTTTAATAATGTGATTTGCTTATATTAATTGGTGATCTTAAAAACACTCCCTCTATTCAGCGAGGGGACAATTTTTCTCAAAACTACGGTGGTTTTTTTTTTTTTTTTTTTTTTTTTTCATTCTTTAATCAACCAAACCTTCAAAAACTAGTTAAAATAACCAAGTTGATGTGCTCGCCAAAGAGACCATGATGCTTGTACTACGGAGTATCAAATTTTAAAAATTAAAATAATATTATGTATGATTCATGACCATTCAACATGTCTTTTATGAAGTTTCAAGTTTACAAGTTTATATTGAGTTTATATTGTATCAACCTAATATTATGTCGGACTACCGAGTGCTAACCTAGTGCATGCCCACGGCCCACCTTTAGCATGGCTTCAGCCTGCAGGGCCACAGGGGTTTGTACTACATGTATTCGGGGTAACAAATACAAGACGGGATGAATGTGTAACACGGCTCATGCCTATTCAACCTTTTAGCGAGACAAGAGTATATGCTACTTGCTTTTAGAATCTAGTTTCGTGGAGCCCTTTCTTATCTCTATTTCTCTTATAAGGGTTACATCAGGGTAGATCTACATACCATAGAATATATGGATATTGAATTATTGATTTTTGACTTATTAATTTAATTTTTTTTTTTCCTTGAAAGAGACTTATTGAGAGCTAATAATGATGCTCTTTTATATTGGAAACGTGATTTTTTGGAGTAAATATACCAAGTATGTGGCATTACACCATTATAGTGATATTGATATAGACAGGCAGCATGGTCGGTAAGAGATATTTAGCGACTTTTTTAAAAAAACAAAATTTCTCTCTAATACTCCATACCATACAAGCCTTTGATAAATATGATAATTAATATCCTTAATTACAAATTGCACTAATCAAAGTTTCTATCAAAGTATCAATTGATATTTTTAAACTACACATTAAAAAAACTTATGCATTATCTCATATAATAGCCCTATCTGTATACTGTATATTAATAAGAATTTGTGGTTAAAGTTTTTAAATCTTAACCATGCAAATATAACTAAGCACTGACAAAGGTATTTTTTTTTTCTTTTTTGAAGGAATTATACGAAGGTGGTGGTTGGGGATATATAAATATATAATATGAAGACGTTGTAAACTTGTAAGGTATAACTGAATCACACTAACACACTTTTTTTTTTTTTTTTGGTCCGACTAGTATCATGTGAACTTTTGCCAGCTCTACCTTAGCCAATAGCCATCAATGAAAATTATAATTTACACTTCACATCAATATAAATATACTTAGACTATAAATACTTGATTATGTTTATTATAACTAAGAATAATGATTTGGAATGTACTTGTATTTGGTATCTTCATTTAATCGAAACCGGACAGCACAATGCCGTCCTTGATCCCTTCCTTCCATCTCTAAGAAAAAAAAGGCCGTCAGTGTGACCTGGTTGGTATATATTTGCATACAAAACTATTAAATCTGGACCTACTTTGTTGCTGATTTCTGCTTTCGATTAAAAAATCCAAGTTGAATACAACAATACTTATTTTATAAACAGCTAGGCATTCATTAGTCGTACACCACTATTTAATTTTTTTTTTTTTTTTTTTTTTGTGATATTTCTATCCTATCTTCTCTGCCCCTCGTGTTCTTTCTTACATTTCAAACCTTAATCTTCCTAAATTAGAAATAATCAATCAAAACCCACTAAAGATAAGCAATTAAAAATCGGACAAATTTCTTCTTTTTTGCAGATTTTGAATTGCAAAAAGAAAGAAACACCCACAAAAAAAGGGTAAAAATGAGTGAATTTAATGAGAGATTTAAAGCATTTATCAACAATAGATGGCTAGTATTTGTAGCAGCAATATGGATACAAGCCTGTGCAGGAATTGGGTATATGTTTGGGAGTATTTCACCAGTAATTAAGAGTAATTTGAACTATAATCAAAGGCAAGTAGCAAGATTGGGTATTGCCAAAGATTTGGGAGATAGTGTTGGGTTTTTGACTGGTTATATTTGTGAAGTTTTGCCTTTGTGGGCTGCTCTTCTTGTTGGTGCTATTCAAAATTTGGTGGGTTATGGCTGGGTTTGGCTCATCATCACTGGTAAAGCCACCCCTTTGCCTCTGTGGGCAGTGAGTTTTCTCTCTCTTCCTTTTCTTTTTACTCTTTCCAATGATAATTATTTTCTGGGTATTTGAAAGTTGCTGTCTTTTTTTGGAACCATGATCATACAAGCATTTGACTTTTATGAATCTATTAGTGGATGATTTGGGTTGCTTAAGTAACTTTTTTTTTGCAAGTAATTAGTGATTTTGGGTTGATGATTATGGTGTTTGATTACTGGATTAATGACTTTGTGAGTTGTTGTGAACTTGTGATTGATTTAAGTATGTTTAGTTTGGTGTTTTGGTGATTGATCTTGCTTTTTTGAGTACTTCAATGCCTTCTTTGTTGTGATGTAAGATTAGTCATATACTCATATTCAGCAAGCAACAATCTGGTGTGGATCTAAAAATTATAATTGTTTATTAGATATGTTAAACAACTCCCTCAAAAGTATTATTGGTGAAATTATATAAATTAGTGTAGATGAAATAGTTGTGTATGATTACTTGTAGTAGAGATTAAAAGAAAATTAATACTACAATTAAAAGGGGTTGTTTTTCGATACTTTTCAGTAACTAAGCAAGGTTCTTAGATGCTATGAATGATGGTATTGTGACTTTGGGCAAAAAGGCAAAATGGTTTGGTTTAGAAGAACTAGAACTTCAAATTACTAAAAATATTGATTGTTGTATCCTATTCCATGTTGCAGGGGAAGTGATTGTTTCTTGTTCTCCTTGAATTTTCATGTGGCACTGAATTCCTGTTTGGGTGGCTTTTCCATGGCATAGATACTCGTCTTAATGGATATTTGCTGTAGGCCTATAGCTGAACTGCTGAACAACTCTGTCACTTCACATCACAACGTATGAAAACACCTGCTGTATAATGAAATTGGATTATGCTTAGCCTAATTGTATTTGATCCTTGAGCTTTTGTCTACTTTAATGTACAGTAGATTCTCATAGATTTGAAATAACACAACATAAAGGTGGATAACTTTTAGTTATTTAAACCTAGTGATCTCCTATTGTCAATAAACTAGTAATTTGAACTATTACCTTTGCGGCATTTATGGATCTCTATAAGCAACGCATCACCACCGCCTTGCCACTGATACCAATTGTTTACCTAAGGTGTGCTCTATAACTTGCTCTGCTGTCATGCTCTACTGCTCTCAGGGATATGGTATAGTTTTACTTCCTGCAGGATTGATTTGTTGAGGCATGAAATTCATTCAAAGTATGTTTAGATGCTTAACATATCTGTGGCTCCAGAAGTATCTTGGATTTCTTATTTTATACTCACATGTTACGCTTATGTTAGATGCTTGAGATCATATTGCAAAGTGTTATTGAGAATATATGATATGTAATGTAACGACCTATTGAACGGATGAACTACTTTGGTCAAGATCAAATTGTATTTACTGGATACTTTGTTCTGCAGATGTGCCTTCTTATATTTCTTGGAACAAATGGGGAAACATACTTCAATACAGCTGCTCTTGTCTCTTGTGTGCAAAACTTTCCAAAAAACCGAGGTCCAATTGTGGGTATTCTGAAAGGCTTTGCTGGGCTGAGTGGAGCAATATTGACCCAAATCTATGCCCTAATTCATAGTCCTGACCAAGCATCACTTGTCTTTATGATCGCAGTTGGACCAACTATGGTAGTTATTTCCCTTATGTTCATAATAAGACCTGTCAAAGGTCACAGACAAATCCGGCCTTCTGATGCAAGAAGTTTCTCATTTGTCTATAGTGCTTGCCTTGTGCTGGCTGCTTATCTGATGGGGGTGATGCTTGTTCAAGATCTGATTGATGTCAGTCATACTATTGTTATCATATTCACCTCGATCTTATTCGTAATCCTGTTGTACCCTATGTCCATTCCAGTAATAATGACTTTTACCGAAGAACCAAGACAGTCGATTGAGGAAGCTCTTCTTCTGGAGTCTGAGAAAAAGGAATCTGGAAAAGCAGCAGAATCTGATACTGAAGTTGTATTTAGTGAGCTTGAAGATGAGAAACCAAAGGAAGTAGACATGCTTCCAAGGTCGGAGAGGAAAAAAAGAATTGCTCAGCTGCAAGCCAGGGTTGCCCAAGCAGCGGCAGAGGGAGCAGTCAGGGTTAAGAGAAGAAGAGGTCCTCATAGGGGAGAAGACTTTACATTAACACAAGCTCTCGTTAAGGCAGATTTCTGGCTTCTCTGGTTTCCGTTTGTGCTTGCTTCTGGTTCTGGTTTGACTGTAATTGACAATCTTGGTCAGATGAGCCAATCTTTAGGCTATGATAATACTCATATATTTGTATCCATGATTAGTATTTGGAACTTCCTTGGCCGTGTTGGAGGGGGTTATTTGTCCGAGATTGTTGTCAGGTATGACTCTGGTTCACATTTTCTTACTCAATTTCTGCTGACTATGATATGAATTATGAAGTTATGCTACTCAGACTTCACCATAACTGGAAGTTAGGTTACTAGGCGTTTAACTGTGTAAGTTTATAGATATTGCGTGTTTTTTTAAAACCATAAAGAAGTGTGAAGTGTCCATACTCATGTTGGAGGGTGAAGTATCCAAAACAAACACTTGAGGAGAAATAAACAGTCTCAGTAACTTACTTAGACATGAATTCTTATTTCTATTGTAGCACATTTATAAGCCTACTATTAATGCTTGTGATCAGGGATTATGCTTATCCGAGGCCAGTGGCGATGGCTGTGGCTCAAGTCATACTGGCAGTTGGCCACTTCTTCATTGCAATGGGATGGCCAGGGGCAATGTATGTCGGAACCCTGTTGATTGGGCTTGGCTATGGAGCACACTGGTCTGTTGGTCCTGCTACTGCCTCTGAGCTCTTTGGCTTGAAGAGTTTTGGAGCATTGTATAATTTCCTTACCTTGGCTAACCCAGGTGGTTCATTAGTGTTCTCTGGTCTTATAGCTAGCAGTATATATGACCGAGAAGCAGAGAAACAAGAACAGCAACGCCATCCTCATGTTGGTTCTTTCTTCAATGGTACCCTTACTTCAGAAGCATCAAAGTGTGAAGGTTCTATATGCTTCTTCCTTACTTCCATGATCATGTCTGGATTATGCATTATCGCAATTTTCATGACCATGACCCTCGTATATCGGACTAAACCTGTTTACGCTAGCCTCTATGGGAAACCACGTACCTGATCTGGGGAGATGGGGCTATTTACTATTGTTTTCATTCTGTGATTCACGTCCACAAGTTTTTGTTAGATTTCTCATAATGTGGGATACAATATTCTTTCTATCTCAATCCTGTACACAGACCTGTACACAGACGACAGTACGCCCTGACCTTCTCTTGCTTGATACTGAAGCAAGTGTGTACCTTATTGTTTTGGAGGTCAGTACTTCTTTGAGATTGAATGTAAACCGGTATTTTGTCTCTAGATGTTGTACTATAGTATCTGTCCTCCAAACTGTGATATACTCTGGGAGGTTTCTTTTGAATAAGATCATTCTTTCTCCATATGTGGTATAATGACCTTTCTTGTTCATTCGCTCTCTGTTCTGTTTATTTATTTATTTATTTATTTTTTTAATTTTGTTTATATACTTAGTATTTCACAAAAATATTCTAAATGGGAAAAGCAAAAAGGATCGGAGGGAGTCTATATAAACTTCATGCTTAGTCATGTTACCAGCTACGAGAGATGCAGAGCGTTAAAATATATTCATGTACAAGTGCAATTTAAATGACAAATGTTAAGCATAATTTTAAGCCTAATCATATACTCTGTAGAAGTTTAATACTGCTACTTATTACATACTTTACTGTAAATGTTTTTTTTTTTTTTTTTCCCCTTTGAAAAGGGAATCAAGACAGACTGAATTTTGTCCTTTAAAATTAAACTACATGTGGTTATATTTTGGTCCTTAATTAAACCGACAGAAATGGATTAACTTGAGCAACATTAGTTCCAAAAACAAACCGCAAAATAAGGATCAAGCCAAACACTCGCCGCCTCGGATCCAGCATCTGCCTTCTTTGTCTACTAGCTCCTGTTACGTGTTTTGCTCTAGGCTCTGATAATCTACAGCAAGAAAAAATTATACCCTTTTCTGCATCCTGAGTACTGTTTCACTTCATTACGGAAACTGTCGATCTAGGAAATAGTAGTGCAGAGTAAGGAAAACTAGACGGAATCAACTCCATTGTAAAAGCTGAATGATTTTTTACACTTATTTCTAATTCAGATAAATTTATGCATTCCAATTAATATTATGTATTGCACATTTTAAGGATAATTCTGTGATTAATCTGGTATAGGATTATTATTTTGGGAATTAAACATTATAATATGATAATACTAACAATGTAGCTGAATTTTCTGATGTTTCTGGCTACCTGTGACTGATGTTCACTTGCTGATAAAGGGGATTAATCTCCAAATCTTTTATAATGAAACGAACATGAAGATAAGAAATTCTGAAGTCAAATTGTTATCCCATGTTAGACTATCTGTGAGCATAAAGATGAACTACTAAGATAAAAGTCCTGCATCAGCCAGATTTCTGAGGCAACTAACATCAGTTTTGCTTCATGCATTTCAATGCTAATAACATCACTTATGTGCACATTATTTTGCAGGCATTGAAACCATTGAACAGAACATGTACAAGCGTGAACTTTAAAGCTGGATGTTAAATGAAATGACATTTCCTAGAATGATTCTTCATTTGTTGGACAGATTTGCAGGAATTGCTCAATATAGGCAGGGTTAAGTGTAGGGTCAACTGGGTTAGAGAGCGAGAAATTATAGAGAAGTTTTGTCTATATGACTGTGTCAAATCCATCACCAGCCAGCGAGAGATTCTCTGGAACATCTTTCCCTGCATCTCCGTTTGGTGAGAAAATCATAATTGATGCATCACCACCCTACAGAAACAAGGTACAAATTTGTTTAAGTTGCATAGAATGTAAATTTTATCTATGCAGTTGTTTAATATTTCAAAACTAGAAGGCTTGATCATTGCTCTCACCTTGACAAAGCAGTCATAGAAAAACGACGAAGAGTTGCTTGAGCTGTAACAAATGTCTGTTGGAACTTTACTAACACAGCCTTTGTAACAATACCCTCCACAGTTGGACAGCTAGAATCCTTTTAGTTTCCTAGCTTCTACATTGCCTACTGACAATAACCTGTTGCTTTTTAGGTAATTTTAAAAGGTTATAAGCATTTATGTAGCCAATGGGAGCTAAATTACAAGAGACTTACACAAAAACAGTGCGAGAACATTGGCCATTCACCATTCCATTAAGAAGTAATTGGGTTAGGATATATGCATAATCAGCTTCTACCTAATCGTGTCACATTTTGGTCAATGGGTTTCGTCATCCTAGAGTTGTTTAATACATAATGGTCGTTCCACTAGATATAGAGAAAATGTCACTAAATGTAGGTGCATTCAATCTTTAAATTGTTTAAGTGGCTACTAGAACATGGTAAGCGTTGGTTGCATTGTCAGGCCATTATCAGACAGATTGAAATTGTATTGAGGCCTCTGTTTTTAGCTTGCAGTTTTTGCCTCAGAGATGATTCATGTTTATAGACCGAGTTTTCATATATAAATAGAGATCATAAGCTTGTATAAGTGCCGAATTCTCATTTTTTTTTTTGCAATACTTAGCAAATAAACTGTACTGTGAGATTTCTAGTGCAGACTTCAGAAATAGGCAATTCTGTATGGATTCTATATTGTTCTGGATTCTGCCTTAGGCTGTTCTAATGTTCTAGATTCTATAATTTGAAAACAATAAAAAAAAATCAACTCAAGATAATCATGTTTCACTGAATCCATCAGTACAGTACAGCACAATCTAGTTTAAATTAGGTTATTAGGTCTATTAGGAGTACAACCTAGGCACTCTTCAATAAGCATACATCAGTGAAATTAATGTCAAAGTATATTCAGTATTTATACGTAGACATTACCATGTTGTTCTGGGACAAATAATTTCAAACCGAACCAATCAAGTGGGCGCAGCATGGATTGTGACTCATGAGACTCGAATATGCTCAAAATAAAAATTCATATATGTGGAATGCAGAGGGGAGGTAAGTAGATCAAATAACTCAATTATTTGAGTCTATAACTATGGGTTTTTTCGTACTCTTTATTTGCATATTTTGCTTGTGTTATGCTAAAATTCCGACTTTTAGACCCCATCAAACTTGCTCGATAAGGACATATAAGTATATAATTAAGGTGTGTGTTACTTTCATTATCTCTAATGCACCAATTTGGACCACTAAAATATGCTAGTGTTTTATGTTAAGCTATCAACATACGTAGGTACTTATTGTCTTAGTGCTTCATGTGCTAAGGTTGATACAACTCGACAGTTGACATGAATAATCAATGCATCTTCTTTGATTCTTAAGCTAAAAGATAGCTTTTACGGATTATAGCTATGGGCCGGGTATGAATGTTACACCTATTATTTGCAAGTTGTATTTATTTCAAGAATGTCTAAATAATCACAACCACCAACTTAATTTTTCCTGTAATTATGTTAAGACAACATATGCAGAACAAGGCATACACATTCATCGTCATTTACCCGTTTCTTACAGTTCATACAGTATATACGTATTTTACGAAAATTGGATAGCACGTAACCTTGTTGCGTGCCTACTTTGCATCTTAATAAACAAAAATTAATAATGTAAATATATTGGTTGAATTAACTTATGATGCTGTAAGAAATAATGAATATATATTGCAGTACAATTTTTTTGTTGTCTTAAGGGATAAATGTTCTTAGGATTCATGAGTTGAATGCTGCACAGTTCCTTCTGATTTCACCTTGATTACCAGTTTTTACACCAACTCGACCAAGCTTTCTCATCGCAGTAACGAAAGCTGCATTAAAGTTGCCTGGATTATTGGCAAAATCAATAACTGTTGGTCTAGAAGCCAGGTTAGTGAAGAGCTCCTGATCTGAAGTAAGCAACCCCCTTCCTACAAATAAGTTCTTGTAATATGTATTGTCGAATGTATTCGAGCTCAAAGGGTCCAAAAAGGCGACAATGTTTGGGTTTACACCTGGTGGGCATTGTTGCTGCAACTGTAGGGCATATAAGGGGTCCAGGGTAGGATCAATAGGGCTAAATTGAGAGTAATTGTAGATACGTTTTGAAAACTTCGAGCAGTGGGCTGCACCTATGGTGTGAGCTCCTGACAGCGCGACTAGATCAGTTTGGTTCAGGCCATTCTTGGCAAACAAGTTAAGTAGCTCGTTAAACTTGTGGTCTGGTTCTGGTAGATGTTTTGTGACATCTGATTTCTTTGACCTTAGCCCATCTCGACGTCCAAGTTCTACACTGAATGAAGGGCCTCCTGTCTGAAAACATACGAAATTAACTATCAATAAGGGACGATTGAGGCCTTGAGGGGCTGTAATTGATGGGTCGTATGTAATATATAAAGGCGGTATTGCAATATGTTACTTTACGCGTGTTAGAGCTCCCAATATAACGTGGGACTTACCAGAACTACAGCCTCTCTGGCAGCAAGAGCCAGAATATCAGCACAAGAGACTACACCGGGACAATTAGCCTCAACTGCTTGCTTGGCCTTTATAACCGTGTCAAATCCGTCTCCTGCTAGCGAGAGATCATCATCTGAATCCTTCTCTGCATCGCCATTTGGTGAGAAAATCATGACTGAAGCATCACACCCCTGTAAAAAAATGAAGGATTATTAGGTAAACACTCACACTCAAGAGTAGATAAAATTTTTTAGTAGTACTTAATTTGAGTATTTTCTTATTTGTCTACTAGTCTTGGACTACTGTATTTTTCTGTTGAGTGTTTTGGTGCACGTATAATGGCTTAAGATAAGAACTAACTTGAGGCGTCCTTATAACCATATGGCCTAGCTACCTAATAGTTGAAACAGTGACCAATATTTAAAGTTTTATTTATTTATTATTTATTTTTTTCAAGGGTGTTTGAGTAAAATAGTGTTAAAACATTGCATAATACGAGAAAATCATTTACTCTGTATAGTCTTAACTCGTCACACTAACACTATACAAAATGTTTATTTGCATTTAAGATGATAGGTATGTGGTATGTCATAATTGCATGGAAGAGCATTACCAGAACAAGGCAGTCATGGAAAAACAGACGTAGAGTTGCCGGAGCTGTTACGAAAGTTTGATCATGTTTCTTCTTAACAGCCTGTTGCACTATACGTTCGAGACGAGGGCAAGAGGAACTGTAAAAATTTTCCGATAATTGAGCTTCACCTCCCTCAATGACCATCATAATGATCATTAGAGTTGAGCAAAGTATTCTCCAATCTTCCATTTTCTTCCTTGCTTTTTCCCTTGAAAACATTTCAATAGGGTTGCTAATAAGTAATAATAATGTATACTCCTTACAATAAGCTAAGCTTGATGAAGAGAAGAAATAAGATGTTTGTACACTATGGCCTAAGCACCCAACTTATTATATAAATCCTTTGTAGTAGTGAATAGTGATGTTGTCTTATTGTGATTAATCAATTAAATTAAGCCACGTCAGTTTTGTTCTATTCTACGTGGCTCTCCATTAGAAAGGTCAAATTGGACAATTTCATTTATGCAGCCTGGAATTTTGGCTTCATTAATTTTACTTGTTCCATTGCCCCAATTTTAGGGTTATAACTTTACTATATCAGTGTCCTAAATTCTGAAGATTTTTCCAAGTTAAGGATAGAAGTTTATTCGATAAGTACTCATTATATGCATGGTTGACTAGCTTGACTCATTCGCTTGGTTGATTAGCTTAACTCATACGTAGACCTGTTAAACCTGAGAGGCACATGATGCATACTAGTATTTTAAATTGTCGGGGTACCTGTTGGTTCATTATTTTAAACTATGTACAAGGGTATTTTATGAAATTTCCTAATAACAAAGATGGTGTTTAATAATAAGCGTATATACTAATACCTCCGTTAAATATTAATTGTAACTTAAGAATATTTTACAGTATCTCATAAAAAGTACCTTAAAATTGCAACTAATATTTAATGTAGGTGGTAAGTATTTTCATAATCTACTACGAATTACACTATTTAGAGCTCTTTTTATTAAGGCGGATAAGTTGCTTGGTGCAATTTGGTATATAAATCATTTAATTATCATCTCAACTATTTCCAATTTTCCACGAATTATCTATAAAGCCTATATATATCAAGTGTGTATGTACTTTTATGGTGCTAATCAATCTTGAATAATTTAATTAGGGTCGGTGTTGTTTGTATGTTATAATTAGAGTGACGTATAGGTTTTAAGCTAGTGTTGGCTTGCACCAACAAGGTTGATATTGACACTACAACAAATCCCAACATTGTTCTTCTACGCTTTATATTATTGGTATATCTTTTTATATACGCTGCTTCTTTAGAATAATTATGAACTCGTTTTTTTAATTTGGTTGTCATTAACTTTTTCCACAAGAGTTCTTCTATTATAGAGTAGCTAAGCTAGCTTATACATTTTAGGTTACTGAAAATAGTCATGAAATGTGTAAGTACACATTATTATCACTTATTTTAGATAGCAAAAGATAATAAATTAATAATTGATATATAAATGGGTTGAGGCCCTTGAGAGTGTGGACCCATATGATATACTACCAAAATTTTAATAATTTTCCAAGGGAGAAAAGTTCTAATAGTGTGGAAAATACAATATATAGAGAAAAGATGATAATTTTATATAGTACAGAGTATTAAGAATAATAGGATGTTGCAAAAAGGCCCAAATAAAGACCAGTTCAATTGTGTAATTAGTGTAAATGTGTTCATATGAATACGGAGTATATATTTATCAATTGGTAAAAATATAAAGGCAAAAGCTAACGAACGCCCTGGGGGTGTTGGATTATTTTGGATATGAGCTTGGGATATAGTTTTGAACTTATTGCTGTTTATGGTCATAATTCCATTGAGCTTAGGTTGTAATAGCTAAAGCTAAGTTAGCTAAAAGTAGAAAGATTAAATTAAAATAAACATTAATTACATCGATCGACGCATGATTTTGTCATGCTTTCCCAAATTAATACCACTTTAGACAATATTTTAAATGCTAAGATCCAAATATAAATAAATTAACAGCTTTTCATTAAATATGGATCGCACACTTATTGAAACTCTTACGAAAATGTCACGCTAACTACACACTTTGTTGTTTTATATACTGATGTGTCGCTTGATACATCAAGAAGATAAATTGGGCAGCCTCTATGTAAACTTTGGTGGTTTGTATATTATACTTCAAGGATATTGAAGGAGGCCCATCCCATAGCACATACCAAAGTACCCAAATTTTAAGGCCCAGCCCAATATCAAACAACACCTCAGCAAAGCCCAAACACCCCAGAATTGAGGCCTTTGGTTTTAGTTGCCAGTTTTTGCCTTATAGTCTTATAGATGATTCATGTGAGCATAGATATAAAGGTCATAGGCTTGTATAAATGCAGAATAGTCTTTCCGTTTCATAATATAGTCCCCATTTCGGAGTTGCAACACTTTGCTAATGTACTGCTGCACAATGAGAATTCTATAGGGAAACTTCAGAATGGCGGTCATGACTCATGAGGGTATACACTGAATCCATCATTACAACAT